GATGGCTCGTCTGCTGAGACGGGTGAGTGAAAACAGCAGGGGCTAGGGATGGACATGGGTGATGTTTAGATAAGGGGATGGGGAAGAGTGTTTTAAGAGCAGCACTACAAATAGAGAAGAGAGTGTGTGTGTGTGTGTGTGTGTGTGTGTGTGTGTGTGGATGGAAATGTCTGTGGATGTATAAGAGTGAAATAGAGCATGTGTGTGTGTGTGTGTGTTATTTGTTAATGCGTGTTATTTTGCCGGGTGTGTTTCAGCTCTCGGGGGTGAGCTGTGTTTGGATGTCCACTCTGCAGATGGGACACTTCCTACTGGTGGCCAGCCACTGATCCACACACGCCTGATGGAACAAATGCATACAGGGTAAACGCCTGAAAACAGAGAGAGAGAAATAGTTTATTAGGATGAGTAGAACTGCATTAGCATATTGCATTTTGTATTTTGACATGCTCTGTTCTTGTTGTGTTTAGTAGTGGGCATACTGTATTTTGCATTGTTATTGTTAAATAAAACTCAAGCTATTAAGAATAGTTTTTATTAATTAGAATTATTTTATTAATAAGAATAGTTTTTATTAATTAAAGTAAAAGATAAATATTAGATAAAAATGTAACAGCTTTACTTTTTTTTCAAGAAAACAATATGCACATAAAAAGAATATTCCTTTGTAAATTGTTAAGATTATGGTTAAAAACAAAACTATTTAAATAAAATTAAAAAAAGTGTTAGATGAAAAACTGAACTGGAAAAAGTTTAAATTGAAGTTGTAAAGTTGCTTAAAAGTGAAATATAAATGAATTAAAGCTAAAAGGAAATATAAAAAAAAAGACAAATGTACATGACAAAATTACTAAAACTAAAATGAAAAACTGAAAGTACAAAAATAAAAGGCAATTCAAAATATAAAAAAAATACTATAATGGTATATAAATATTAAAATATAAATGTTACTTTGTAGTATTTATAGTGTAGTTTAAGGACGCAAACTTTTGTACCTCCTGTGGTTTTAAGTTAATATTTCAATCATTTTAAAACACATTTTCATGCAATTAATTATCTACTCATCAACTCCTGAACCTCCTGGTGTAATACTTTTGTTGAAAAGTTTGGGGTCAGTAAGATTTTTAAATTAATTAATTTTTTTCTTCAGGAAGGATGCAATAAATTGATTAAATGGGACAGAAAATACATTTACAATCAGAAATGTTATTTATGCAGAAAATCAGCATATTAACATGATTTCTGAAGGATCATGTGACACTGAAAACTGGAGTAATGATGCTGAATATTCAGCTTTGATCACAGGAATAAATTACATTTTAATATATATTCAAATGGAAAACAGTTATATTAAATTCTAATAATATTTCACAGTATTGCTGATTTTACTGTATTTTTGATCAAATAAATGCAGCCTTGGTGAGCAGAAGAGATTTTTTTCCAAAAACATTAAAATATAATCTTACTGACCCATACTTTTGAACGACAGTGAATAGTTTCATCGGTCTTTATTATATACTACCTGACATCTTCTCCATCCTCCAGCATGGAGAGGCAAATGGTGCATTTCTCATCCATATCCGACTCTTCCTCACATAACTTCAGATCCAGCAGCTTCCGCTACACACACACACACACACACACACACACACACACACACACACACACACAAGCGCAGACACAAGTGTGCAAGCAGAAGAAAACTGTAGGTTGGACATGAAAATGAAAGAGTGAATGTGAACAGTGTGTGTATGTACCTTCTTGTATTTGTGGGGGAAGGTGAATCTCTCTATGGTGGTCTGTATGGCCCCTCGGCTGACGCTTCCCAGTCGATCCTCCAGCTGTAGCAGCTCCTGCACACGATCACAGACTCGGTGTTAAACAGAGCAAAACATGAATGTATGCGAGTTACTGTTCATCTATCTGTGTGTGTTTTACCTCATAACTCTCTCGAACAGCAGACGAGTGTCTGCTGGGACTCAAGCTCTGCAGCGCCAGCAGATGGAGCTGTGGATACGGATAATTCCTTATCTCATGGACAACCTACAGGAAACACAACATACATGTCTGTCTTAAACATTGCAGACCACATTCAACACTTGCACTTACTATAAAAGACTTCTAAATAAAGAAAAAAAATCTATAAATAAAACATATGTAGTACTTTATATATACACTATATTTGCATATAATGTGATATATTTATATATATATACACTCACCACTTGGGTGGAGGAGGTGTTCCTGGGGAGGTGGTGCATTCTGGGAGAGGCCAGGTAATGCTGGTAGGGTTGAGGGATCTGCTGCAGAGGATACTGATATGGCACTCCTGCGTCCACGCTTAGGTCCCTAAAAGCACACATTTTCATTTTAATAAAAGCAATTTAAAAACAACATCAGCAGCAGGGAATTTATGTACTGTATTTTAATTTTTTTTTCCAAATGTTGACCATGAATTTGACCATGAAAATGAGTTTATTTGCTATGGAAGCTTACTTCTGCCATAGAATACAAAATAAAAAAAAAATAAAATAAAATAAAAAAATATATGGGTGCAGCAGGCGCAATGATATCACGCAGCGCCTGAAAATAGTCCCCAGCTAGGTAATATCGAAAATCTTTGGTCATTTTTGAGCGAGATGCTAACGGTCTAATCAGATTCAGTGATCTATGCTAAGCTACAGCTAAAAGTGCTACCGCCAGACCCGGAGATCGGCTGAATGGATTCGAAAACAGTAAAACTCAACTGTTTAACTCTAGGGGAGTTGGAAAATGAGCCTATTTTCAAAAATAGTGGCGTGTTCCTTTAAACTCAGAATTCTAAACAACAACAACAACAACAACAAACGTCAAAATTGTGAGATGTAAACTCGCAATTACAAGTTTCTAACTTGCAATTGCAAAGTTTATATTTATAAGAAATTCAGATAAAAAAAAGTTTGAACTGAGTTAGAAACTGCAATTATGAGGGGGAAAAAAAGCCTGAATACTGAGATGAAACGTCAATGACCTATTCGATGGCGGAAATGAGTTTCGATATTTTACCGCTGCTTTGTATGTGTGTGCTTTTGTAGAACTCACCAATCAGTGCCTTCTGCCAGGTATCTGGGCTGCTGTGGGATTGGCTGAGGGACATGGAGGGGCGGAGCATATTCATATCCTGGACGTAACCGATGCGTGTTCAGTGGGACTCGCTCCTGTGTGCGTCTGAAGAGATGCGACAGTATGAGGAATAGAATGGACCTTTTATTTATCAATTGTTTTGTTTGTTTCTCTTTATTTTGTCTTTTACATTAAAGAAAGATAACTTTTATATAACTGAACATGCACAGGTGTGTGTTTTCTACCTGCGCTGCAGTAGCTGTTGCTGGATGAGGTATTGCTGCTGTAAGGCCTGAGGTAAGAAAGGGGGCGGGATTTCCTGGTACTGAGGCGGGGCGAGGGGAGGGGGCGGGAACTCAGCAGGCAGCGACGTTGCCGTAGCAGCCAGGTGAAAATGCCGGCAGGAGGTAGCATGACTATGCTGGTGCCTGCTAAAATGTGCTCCTGTACGGGACAAGCAATAACCCATCAGAGATCAGCAATAACGTGTGAAGATGACAAGGCTATGGCCCAGAATGCTGTGCTCAATATGCAAAATAAACATTTATTTACAAGATAATAACTGGATGCCATTTACCTAACATGACATTATGTGACATCCATTGTAGTACACGGCTTTTTAAAATGTAAAAAGGTTTCACATATTTAGACTGATTCAGGAAACAAGCAGTTGTCTTAAATCATTTATAAATCGTTTCATAAGTAAATTAAATGTTTTTTTCATATTTTTTTTAAATAGTATGCAGTATATTGCATAAAATGCACAGCATTCAGTAAATAGTACATTGATATTCCATTCTAAATACATGTACAGTTTGCAAAATATCACTTATTTTCTTTTACTATGGTAACAATAGTTTCTGCAAAAATACCCCATTTACTGCAGTTATTGTCACTACAGAAAAACTTGTTTCTGTTTTAGTCATCAATAAAACATAAAAATAATAAATAAAATAATAATAAATAAAAATAACCAACTAAAAATACATTTGTTATTATAGAAATACTTCTAATTTAATTTTTGTCATCAGTAAAACATGAAAATAAATAGAATAGCAAAATAAATAACACCTAAATTAAAATGAAAATAATGAAAAATATGAAAAATACTGTTATTGTTTAAAAAAAACTTATAATTTGGTAGTAGCCACTGACAAAGTAAATTAAATAAATAAAAACGAAATAAAATCAGTAAATAAACAAATTCTAAAAGGTAATTTTAAAATTCAAATTTACTATTTTTAAATTCAATGTAATTTTTATATAGTAAAAATAATATCTGAAGTATAGAAACTGTTTACCATGGTAAATGTTTGTAAGTGTTAGTAATGTGGTGTATTATCTTATTAGCGGGACATGAAGCAGAAGCAGAGGCCGTTCTGATTGATGTCCTGCATTAGAGAATATTACCTGTTTTTTATTTAACTGAAGCCAGCTGACGATTCTTACGCTGTGACACCTTGCTGGATCTAACGGCCCGCACTACGGCAGGTAGGACTCGTTCTTTATCTGGACTACCACAGATCTAACTGATCCCATTCTCTCAGGATTAGTTGTGTTTTTTTCAGGGGAAATTTTTCTAGACCTAATGGTGTCAGGCTGGAGAGCTTGTTTAAGATGTAATGTATCCATCTTATTTTTAATATAAATTTGGAAGCCTATTTCCGCCATGTATGCAAAGAAAAAAAAAACTCATATGTCATCCGCCCGGAACTGCTTCCGTGTACAACGGTTGGCGCAAGCTACATTAAAGTGATTACGTGTTGAATATGGATATTTTTCTCACAAACATGTATCGATTTGCTACAGGAAGCCTTTGTTCACCCCCCGGAGCCGTGTGAGACACTCTTTTTTTATGGAAGGGCGCTTTTTATTTAACTTCTTTTGGACTGATGCATGCAACACCTGCTGAGTGACATGAAACAGCTTGAAAGATCAAAGACAATTTTTAATAGAACTCCGACTGGATTCGTCTGAAAGAAGAAAGTCATATACACCTAGGATGACTTGAGGGTGAGTAATTTATGGGCTAATTTTCATTTTTGGGTGAACTAACCCTTTAAAGGTGGGGTAAGCGAATTAGCCGAGCGACAGAAAGATAGAGATGGCGGATAAAAAAAACAAAAGAGGAAACCGTCTGCGGAACAAAAGAAGGCTTAAGGCAATAAGGCAAGAAGTAGGACCCGTGTAAATATCGGATCAGCTTTCCAGCGCTGGAGAGAACTCAAGGAGCGGAAGGCCTGCGATCGGACGCCAAGGTTGCTTTGTTTCTTCTGGATAGGTGAGTAACACCATGTCTGCGCCGCAACAGCTGTCTGTCTAGTACACTGGACGCGACAAAGCGACCATTGAAATTCATTTGAAATTTGTGTCAATACGTCATGAATAGAACGCAGCAGCAGTTTTCTGTCGGGGATTTGTCATGTCGTACCGCATCCAGTGTAGACCATAGATATGTATATATATCTATGGTGTAGACAGCATCACTGATTATAATGAGTTTCATAGTATTTTATCGCGCCGCACCACTCGCGTCCGGTGTAGACAGTGTAACATTGGTTTTGCTTTGGCCTTAATGACAGGTGGATCAGCCCTAATGACAGGTGTTTATGAGAGTGGACCCGGCTGATTCAGCAGTCACACGGATTCGGTGACGGACATAATACAGACAGATGGAGGGGTGGGGGGTTTCAGGGACACACAGAGGGGGAGGGAATGATGGGATTGAGGAGGTGGAGGGGAAGGAGAGAGAACTGGAGGGGGAGGAAGGGACTGTTTGACAGCTGCCCCTCAAAGTTCTATTTCAGCCGTTCAGCTGTCCAGCTCTCACACACACACACACACACTGGGTTTCCATGTTTTATGGGTCTTTCCATATACATAATGATTTTTATAATGTACATACTGTATATTCTATCTCCCAACCCTAAAATGACCCCTAAACACAACTCTCAAAGAAAAGTTTCTGCATATTTAGTATGATTTAGTATGACAAAAAAAGGCCCACAAGATCAAAAATTTTGGGTATAACTATCCTTGTCCCCACAACATAGGGAATACCTGAACGACACACACTTACAAACATTTAAAAGTTTGCTACTTCCTAACATAATCCTGCTTTGGTGATGCCAGAAACCCTTTATAGAATTTTATTAATTAAACCGATTTTTGGAATGCTTTATTGTGGTTTGTGTCATTTTGCGGTCAGATGCTTTTTAAACTGTAAAATTGCAATATGTACAGAAAAAGAGATTAAACTAGCATGGCTAATATATATATATATATATATATATATATACACGACTGTCCAAAAGGTTATGGTCTGTAAGATTTTTTTATGTTTCTCAAGGTAGTCTCTTTTGCTCATTTATTTGATCAAAATACAGCAAAATCAGAAATGATGTGAAATAATATTACTATTTAAAATATTAAAAACTATTTAATTACTCTTTTCTACTTGAATATATTTTAAAACTTATTGATTCCAATGACCAAAGCTGAATTTTCAGCATCATTACTCCAGTCTTCAGTGTCACACAAATAAAAATATTTTCTTAAAAATATATATATATATTATTCACCCCAAACATTTGAACAGTAAATATATACACAGCTGGGCTAGTGTCTTATTTCTTTCTTCTCACATAATATTATTTTCCAAATCAATATTTCAAATGCATTCACCTATATGTTTGACAAGTAGCAAAATAAACATTCTTAGGGTGGTATTTGTGATAATGACTATACGGCTACATGTTAATCCTCACATATGGTGTCAAGTTTATTAAAGATGTTAAAACTGAAGTGTGTCATTTATGTTAAAATAATTTATTGTAGCCCAGCTTAATATGCAGAAAACTCAATCATCCGTCCTTATGTTACTGCCACAATAATGCAAGTAAAGTATAAACAATGTCTGGTCATTCAGATCTGTGTTTGAGTAATGCAGAATGAAGAGTGCAACACTATTGGTAAAGTTGTGATGGCAAAAAAAGCATGAATCTGACCTCTGCCTTAAAAGAATAGCTCACACAAATTAATACCGTGCCATCATGTTGTTCTAAACCTGTATGACTATGTTTCTTCTACTGAACACACACACACACACACACACACACACACAAACAAAAGATATTTTGAAGAACGTCGAGTCCAAACAACATGGGACACCTTTGAATTTCACTGTACACTGTAAGTCTTAAAAAAATACGGTAGCAACGTTTTAGGTTTTAACTTAAATTTACAGTTAAATACTGTAATTTCATTAACTGATATAATGTTAATATACCAACCTATTGAAGTACTGAAATCTGTTTTGTACCTTTGTAATACACTGATAACCACCAAATGCATTTGGTGATGAGAAAGTCACATGATGAACCAAAGCCCATCACAAGCAGCTTTTAAATAATAACATATAAAGAAGGTGCACAGTGTCATTCACACAAACACCATCATGGTAACACACATGAAACTGAAATAATGCAATAAACATTCATTTAACAACAATAGGTGTAACACACAACCCTAATATACAAAACTGATAAGAAAAAACTAAGAAACAGTTATCTCAAAAAAATATCAAATTTGAAATGTAACGCAGGGAATTCTGGGAATGTCAATTTATGGTTATTCACTGTAAATTATACAGTCTTTTTCACTTACAAAAATGGTATACTACCGTAAAATTACTGCCCAATACATGTAATGTCCAATACAGTTTTTCACCGTATATAGTAGGGGAATTTACCATTAACCATTTAACAGGTTTTTACTGTAGCAATTTTACAGTCTTTTACCATTAAATTCACGGTCATTTTTTAGTTTTTTTATAGACAAAAGAACAAGACATTTTTTTCAAAATACCACCTTTGGTCTTCTACACTAATTGATAGAATTTAAACTTTACTACATTCTGAAGTCTTGATTTTTCAGCATCGTTCATTTCTAGCAGTATTTGTGTGAAACTGTTGGTTTTGAATTGCATTTTTTTCCTGAGGTGAATATGAGGACAAAATGGTGTTGTAAAGGTCACGAGAAACATTTCAAAATGCTCAGAAGACTTTGGCCTCGGTGGGAAAGGAAACTTCTCGCACATGGAGGACAAGATGGAATTTTCCGAGTGCAAAAGTGCAGAAGCTGTTGATAATGGAATCGTTATGGTCTCATTTCACGGCGCCTTTAGAGAACAGAACAGAGGAGAAACCGGTGATTTTCTCAGTGGGAAATATTCCCCAGGGCTCCAGAAATTCAAGCAAAACTCTTAGATCAGCAGAAGCGTATGGAGCGTGCAGTTCACGTGCTCTGAATTCTAATGATCCTGTTCCTCTGCTTCCCTTACAAACCCGGGCAAAAATATTGATCAGTGAATAATAGTGAGATCCACAGTATATTGCACATTGTGAGTCTCTAGTAAACCATGAACTCTTCTACCTGAGATTATG